GCACCCAGAAACAGTGTTCCTGAGACAGGACTCCTCTTCTTTATAGGACAGACACAGGCTTTGAAGATGCCTTTCAGTAGTTTTTCTTTTTCTTGCACTGGCACCAAATGTCCTGCACTGTCTGCTCTCTCTGTCACACCCCATCCTCACCCAGCACCGGTGCTTTTGCAGCTCTCACAGTGATGTGCACAGAACCTTCTCTCTGCATGGAAGGACTTCCCCCTTCTTGCCCACCTGGATGACCACTGCTTACTTCTCCTGCTCCACCTTTGCCTCCTCTAAATCTCTCTCTCTTGCTCAGGGGACACTGTCTCTCCTCTTCTGATACTCTCTGCTTTCCAGGCGCTCTTTTTATGACAGCTACCTGGGTTTCTTCCCAAGGCTAAGACCACAATAGGCTATCCTCGCCTGAAAAGCAAAGACCAAACCCCCGAGTGTTCCTGTGCTTACTGTATACGCCTGACACAGTAAGCGTGATCAATAAGGAAATTAGTAGATAAAGAAGGAAATAATAATTACTTTTAAAAAAACAACTAACATTTGTTTTAATTATCCTTAATTTAACTGTAACTCTTTGTAAATTTTTGTCAATATGTGTTTGCAGTACATAGCGATTATACTTCTCATGGAAAGCTGGTACATGATACATACCAATTCTTTTCTTATTCCCTCCCAGACTCTTCCCTCCCAACCCCTCCATCTCTTGGTTTCCTTCCCATCTGCAAAAGATCCAGCTCCCCATTTCCTATGATCTATCTTTTATTTTGTTTTTTATCTATATGTTGGATTTCTCATACAAGCTCAAACATGCAATAGTTAAGCTTGTGTGTCTAATTTATTTTCGTTAATATTATGTTCACCAAGCGCGTCCGTTTTGCTACAAATGATTCAAGTGTATCCATCTGTATGACACAGTGGTACTCCATTGTGTCTGAATGCCACATTTTCTTATCCGTTCATCTACAGATGCACATATAGGTCCCTTCCAAGATTTGACTGTTATAAATAGTGCTTCTATAAACATAGTTATCACAGTATTATGGTGTCTTTAACTCTTAGAGAAGATACTATTCTTCAATAGCTGGGTGAAATGGAATTTTTACCTTGTTTCTGAGGCATCTCCATACTCATTTCCATAAACGTTTTACTGGTTAATACTCCCACCAACAATGTAGCAGGGCTCCTTTTTTTTCTGACAGCCTTGCCAGCATTTGTTATTATTTAATTTATGGACAATGGCCATTCTTTTGGGAGAGAAATGGCCAGAGATGCTTAATATTTTACCATGTAGTTAATAGTCATTTGTGTTTCTTCTAACAAGTATCTGTTCATTTCAGTCACCCATTTTTGGAGAATCTAATTTTTTAGCTCATTATATATTATAGACACTAGTCCTCATCGCAGAAATAGCTAGAAAAACATTTTCCCATCCTGTAGGCTGTCTCTTCACTGTGTGGTTGTTTCCTATGATGGAAAGAAACCTTTGAATGTAATATGATCTCACTTGCTGATACTCAATATTAGTTTTGTATACTTGGGGTTCTGTTTAGAAAGTCCTTGTCTACACCTATGTCTTCAAGGTGTTCACCTTGTCTACGTCGATTTTGTCTTCCAAAGATTATTTCTGTTTTAACATTAGATCTTTGATCCATTTTTATTTTTATGGATCCTTGAACCATTTTATTTTATATGGTGAGTATATGGGTATAGAGTCAGTCTTCTCTAGTTACCTTTGTGCTATTGGCCAGAGGAAAGAAGATATCTTTCCTCTGGTATATTTTTTGAGCCCTTTGTCAAAGATCAGATAACAGAAAGTATCTGGAGTTTTTTCTCCATCCTCTATTCTGTTCCATTGATCTACCTGCCTGTCTTTGTGCTAGTACCATGAGTTTTTTAAATAACTGTAGCTTTGCAATATAGCTTGAATTTCAGGAGAGTGATTCCTCCTGCTTCTCTCTTGTTACCTAAGATTGTTTTTATTATTCTGTGTATTTTCTGGCTCTATATGAATTTTAGGATTGTTTTCTCCAGTTCTGTAAGCAATGCTGTTGGCACATATTACTCTTACACAGAGGTTTGCGCTGGAATATTTTTCTGCCTTTTACAAAAGAAAATGTCTGATATGGAACAAAAGAGAGAAAGGACAAAGAAACATAAATTGAGAGAGAAAAACCTAAAAAAAAAAAAAAAAAAAAACCCACCTAAACAAAATCCCAAACATATGAGAGCTGTTCTTTAGATGATTTTTGTGTAAGCACTGCATTCTTTGGGTCAAGGTGTTTGCATCCTTGGGTCAGGGATGAAACTAAGACAATTTTCGTGTATGTTCCTTTTATGCATGCGGAGCTAGGAGGGACTCTAGCCTGAGAAGACAGACCTGTGTCTCTGGTTGTAATACTACACATTCGCCAGCAGAGGGTAGCCACGAATATTGCATGCATCTGCTCCACGCACCCCCCCCCCCATCACATTCTTCATATTTGAGATAACTATAAAATTGTAGTTCTCATCTTCAGAGGTAGAAATGGGTAGTGATAGGCCTAATGACTTTGTAGTAACTTATAGGGAATTTTTGGTTGTTTCACATTGATGCTTGCAGTTAGGAAACGAGATAGGTTTGGTTGGAAAACAGGATCTTGCAGTTAGAAATAACTTTACAGAAGCAGAATCATAATGCCACGTGCTGTGCTCCATGACTCATATGCATTAGCATATTTAATCATCAAAAAGCCAAGAGGATGTACTATAGTATCAGTCCCAATTTCCAGGACAAAAATATTAGATAATTCTAATCAGTTATGGAGGCTAGATTCAAAGCAAGATGACTTATTCTTTCTCACTGTGTTATGTAAGTTTCCTTCGCTGAATATTTCCAGCTTTTACCATAGTGCTGTGTTTGGCTTAGCTCAGCCTGATGTACTGGGGCACCTAAATTAGCCTCAGTGAGTGGCAAAATCCTAGGGAAAACGCAAAAACAGAAACAAAACCTAAAAGATGAGCAAATCATATTTACAATAAGATGAAAATATGATATAATAATTAGATACTTAATGGGTTTTGTGGAAGTTACGGGAGTAAATTTCTTTAACTGTTTCTCTCTAATTTCCATAACTGGTAACCCTGGTCATTTTGTTACTGAAATCATCTTACCACGGTCTCTGCACACAGTAGGAAAATGGGTCTACTTCTGGCTACAGCATGAACTCCCATCATAGCTGTTCAGACTTTGGTTATGATTAGCATTTAGTGGGAGACAAAGGTTAACAGCTTTATGATGAATGAAATCAAGATATTTTTAGTTTACACGGACAAATATTACTGTGTTTACTATGTTGCCAAGCATTGTGGCAGGCATAGCAGCTAATGGATATTTAAAATTCAATTCCTGACTTCAAAGAGTTCTCTTCCCCGGGTTAGATAACAGAAACATAAATCAGTAACCACAAGACAGCAGGATAAAGCCTATCTTAAAAGCATTTTTATTTTTTATTTTTTTAATTTTAATTTTAATTTTTTTTATCAGTACCTGGGATCGAACTCAGACTGCGTGCTTGCAAGGCAGGCACTTATGCCCCTGAGCTAAATCCCCAGGCCCTTAAAAGCATTTTTAAAGTGCCTCAGTGGCATAGAAAGGACAATTTTGGGGATCCCTTAGTATCCAACAGCTTGTTGTGTGGGTTAATATTTAACATTTGCATGCTGCTTTAAATTCAAAATTGGGTAAATCTATGGGTGGCTTAGAAGGTTGGTTTTCAAACTGAGCCTGAAAGTAGGTGCATCTTTTTTTGTTGTTGTTTTGGTTTTGGTACTGGGAATTGAACTCGGGACCTTGCACTTGCCAGGCAGATGCTTGTGCTGCTGAGCTATTTCCCTGATCCCAACAGGTGCATATCTGATGGAGGAATGTCCAGAATTCTAACCACATCTACTCACTAGGAAGCTGCAGGGCCAGTAAATGTTACCATAATCAGTCCATTAGCAGTAATAATCAATGTGTAAGATATGCTGACAGCCATGGTGGGATAGTGGTCATAAAACTGAAAACTTTGTAGGCCAATAAATCATCAAGCAGTGTTCTTATTGCTGAGACAAAATACCAGACACCTAAAGTCAAGGAAGAAAGGGTTTATTTACCTCACCATCTGTGAAGGTTTCTGTCCATAGTCAGCGGGTGCCAAGGCAAAGTGGCACATGGCAGGGGGCAACAGTTCCTGGTGGCAGAAACAGCACAAGCAAGAAGACCAAAAGGGAGGAGCACAGAGAAAAACCTTTCTGTCCCTTATATTTATAGGCCACACCTATTAGGGTGTGGCACTCGTAGGCAATCCCAGTATTAAGCCATGAGTTGATGACAAACTCTAGAAGCCTGCCTCCCTGACTGCCTGAGGTTTTAGGGGGCCATTCAGTCTCAAACTATAATACTTCAGTTCTAGAAAATGGCTCATGAACAACATCTAACCTGTTACTTGACACAAAAAGGAAACTGAGACCTAGCAGTAAAAATTAACTTTCCCAAATGTCATAATCTAATTAATAGTTGGTAGATCTCAGAAGACTGGTGGGTGGTATAGTGAGTGTATCTCTGAATTCTAGAGAATTCTTGCTTGGGTTCTGCTACGTACTGGCTGGGTTTTCTTAAGTAAGTTATTTAAACTCCTTGTCACTTGGTTTCCTCATCTGCACGGTGAAAATAATACTTTAGTATCTACCATAAAAAATAAATAATACTTTAGTATCTACCATAAAAAATAAATGCAAGTAAGCAATGTTTAAATGAACTAATTCAGATTGATTGACATCATAACAAGAGCTTGGTAAACACCAATAGAACTCACATGTCTCAATTTCTGCATTGATATCTTTCTGCTACAACATGAATGAAAGAAATGAAATTGGGTTTTGTTCATTTTTGTTTCTCTAATTCAGCAAGAAATTTCTTTTTTAAAAAAAATCTGTACTCATGACATGTTCTTGTTTCCCCTTTATATTTCTTCTTTCAGGGCCAAGGAGATTAAGATCAAGTTGGGAATTCTTCTCCAGAAGCCAGACTCGGCTGTCGACCTTGTCATTCCATATAATGAGAAGCCGGAGAAACCAGCCAAGATCCAGAAGTGAGTCATAAATATGGATTCCACTCATTTTCCTCTAGAAGGTGGCTATTTTTCAAGTGTATAGCACCATCTTTCATCTTTAGAATTACTCCCTTCAATTACTCACAGAGGATCATAGGAGTCCTTAGCGAGCTACTTTGTAAAAAAAAAAAAAGAATTTTTTTTACGATTTTGTATCTGGGGCATAATATTGGATACTGGCAGAATAGTAAAATAAAGATAAATTAAAACATAAAAACTAGAGTCCTGCCTTACCTGTGGAGAAACAGGCCATACTTTATACAACAGCATCAGTTATCTTCTCAATCATTTATCAAACAAAGGTGTAGTAAAAATAATTATTTACTGCCTGAGGTCAGGAAAACATCCCTGACCCAGTTAATTATGGGCAAGTCCATCTGGTAAGGCACTTTTCAAGGCTACCTCCTCAGGAAGGGGACGCAAGGTGCAGCTGTCCCTCAGAAAGATGTCAAAGAAAAGAATCAATTTAAGGTAGACAGTTTTTTCTCCAATATAGTGGCCCTTCGAGGTCCAACACAGGACAAGAGGATTGTTACTTTGGGTAGGAATGAATACCTGACTATTTCTATTTAGTGCCCACTGGATATTTTTTTCTGATCCATAAATTAATACTCCTGATAAGGATCTGTAGTCATATGTCTTTCCTCCTCACCCCTGTACCCCACATCTTTCCACTCATATGACCATCATTTAAGGTATGGTAGGAAACCATAATTCTAAAGAATAAGGATATTAGGCCAGGGATTTAGCTCAGGGGTGTAAGTGCCTACCTAGCAAGCCTGAGGCTTTGAGTTCAATATTTGGTACCAAAAAAATCCAAAAGAATAAGGCAGTGAACCCAGCCCTCCCAGTCTGCATTTGCACTGCTTTAGTTTAAAAGCATTACTCATAACATTCCCGTGTTTACCACTGACCCATTAGCTATCTGGACCCTCCCTGCTAAAAGAGACACACTTCAGCTTCCCTTTACAAGAGAGACCCCGTGAAAAATCGAGAAACGACAGAGTTTTCTTCAAAAACCAAATAGAGTCAAACTGCCTTCAGTCTGCTCTCTAAAAATTTCAAGATCCTGGAACCGTGGTAAACAATACCAGTAGTGGCTTTTAACTTGCATTTCTCTTTTTAAATTTAAATTTGTATAAATTGGCCTACCAGTCCTTTGTCCCAGTGACCTTTTAGCTCAATCTAGCTGGATTGCTTAGGGGATATAGAAATGACTTATTCTTTTTTCTAATCATTTTTCATCAATCTAAGTGGCTATTTCCATTCTCTTCCCTTTTATTACTTCAAAGCCATCTCAAACCGGAAGTGAGGCCTAATTGAGTTTTCTCCATTTAAAAGGAGGAAGCTAATTGAATGCGAAGCAGCGGTCTGCAAGCACTAGGGGAAAATAAGAACCACATTTCAGAGCAGCAACAGTCAAAAGGTCTATTTTGAAGTAAACAATGTGGTAATTATTGATTTGTTGGGATTAACGTTAAGAAATATAGTGTACATTTCCTGTTTTAATTCTCTATCTCCTGCATAGGCATTTAAATTGTTTGGCTAAGGATTTAGAGAGAAACTATTTTGGAAAAAACCGGGGGCTAACATTTATTGGATTGCTTTTTTGTCTTCCATTTCCTTTCTGTTTCCAGAAGTTTGAACTGATTTTGGTAAAAACTGTCATATCACTAGAGAATATTTCAAGGTCTATGCATTTTTAACAGTGACCACTAAAAGAGCTTCCCCCTGTCCTTCCAAACCCCTAACCCACATTTCACCTCTGCTGGGCAAATTTGAGTGCCTTCTGCCTGACAAGGAGAGCTGATGTTTTTCATGCACTGGGTTAATCTCTTCTCTACTTTAAAACTTCTCCCTGCATTTTCTCTTAAAAGAGAAAATAAGCCTTCTTTTGACTGAAAGTATTTTTAACCACCCCCTCCCATTTCTGAGAGCTGTTGACACCAGTAGAATTCTTTTTATAGGAAGCATTTTCTATTTTTAATGCATTTTTAAATCTCATTTGACTAAAAAAAAATTGAGCCATCAAAAAGTTAGAATATAGTTGACAATATCCTTGCCTATCCAAAGCCATCTTCTGCTGTCATTTTAGAACTCTTAATTGCTTTTTCTGTCTCCCACTCATTTCCATTAGGAAGTAGCAAATACCTACATCCACTCCAAGAAATATTCATGTAGTCCTTCATTCTTTCAATTCTTAAACCTTTCTCTGCTTTAATTCAGTATGGAATACTCAGTTCGCAGTATTTCCTTATCTCCTTATCAGGTTTAAACCTTACCTCCCCACTGACGCTGGCTCTAAGGAATCATCTTTGATTCCTTGCAGCATTGACTCCATGTACTTTGTGCAAATTCTTTTTCTCGGTTTCTGATCCTGTGATCCTGTGTTCTCCCCCTGCCTTCCTTTACTCTAACCTGCTGCCACTTTTTTCCATTCTGTGCGTCTGACATAGAGCCTCCTAAAAAGCAATAAACAAAATTAATAAGCTATGTAAGTTTAGTTTATGATTACTGTCATCATGGCTTACAGTAAAATCAACTACAAAACTGGGGCAGAAATAGATATTCTTGCAGTATTTCTTTATACTGTAAAAGTCCCCTTTTCCCTTATATCATCAATGTTTTACATTTCATTGTTGTGCTGGCGGTGATTGTTTAGAACTTTGGAATGACCTCCACACTAGCCCTGCTCGTGAGGAAAAGTTACAGCAGATTGTCAGTTATTTGCAAAGTGAACATTGATGTCACGAACAGAGACATACATGCATGATTTGGTCTACACATGCATATTGAAAAGTACTATTTAGGGGTTGGGGATTTAGCTCAGCTGCATAAGCGCCTGCCTTGCAAGCAGGCAGTCCTGAGTTCGATCCCCGGTACCGATAAAAACGAAAAAGACAAAAAAAAAAGTAGCATTTAAAAAAATATAATCCATTATTGCTGCCCATTTCAACAAACATTCTAGAACTTGAGTGAACAGAATGTACAGGACAGCGGGAAAGGAGAGCAGAGCAGGCACTTGCACAAATGCCACTAACAATTTTAGGTTCATCGACCCCATCAAAAACAAGAACACGTGACGTGTGACAGTATTACCAGGGAAATTCAAACACATGCCAGCCAGTACCTGGGTTCAAAACCTAACCAAAAGCAAAGTTCAAAGTTTGGAGAAGTTAGGACATCGTTCATGATTACAGCCAACAGAGAGAATTGTCAGCTAGTGTAGTAATAGTTCACTGCAACAGTCATTGAAATCTAAGGTTTACGTCATTCGCAGCTTTCAACAACCAGGTTAACTCTGGGAAAACTGAGCTGTTATTCACTTACTTATCATTTTGACACATTTATTATAGGGTATCCTACACTGCATCCTGCTCATGACCATTCTTAAGTCCATAAACGTTTATTGAGCCCTTATCCCATGGCCAACAGTGATGGGCACACCATGGATGGGAGACAGATAAACTGGGGGTGGGGGTGGGGGAAGAAAATCTACCAGGTTACCATGTAAGCCAACATCTGTACATAAACCTTTGATCTTCATAGCAAGACTTGCTTATCACAGACTGATATTACACGAGATATACAATACCATGTAGTAGAGTGGGGAAGTTCTCCATGAATGACCAACTATTTCTGTAGGCAGTGGGTATATCAAAGCCATGAAAAGGATTCAACAAGTAAACAAGATGAGTGGAAAAAAAAAAGAGCATTTCCACTCAAGATGGGCACCTTCTGAACTAGGTAGCATTTTCACTGAACATCAAAAACCCCAGTTAATCATTTCTATAAGCGTTTGTTTTGCTTTTCCTTTAAACTAGCTTCCTGTTTCTCCCTCATGCATCCTCATGGAGAGGCTCTCTGTCAACCCTCTGTAGTCAGCTTTGACCTGCAAGCCAAAATGCTTATTGGTCATCTGGATGTGCATCTATCTTGTTTCCAAAGAAGTCAGATTTAATGAGGGCCAGCAAATTCTGAGAATCAGGACAGGATGAACTTCTGCTACCTCCTAGGCTGGTAATCAGAACACTGGGCTGTATGCTGTGAGAGACGTGTCCTGCTTGACTGTGCCCTTAAATCAATCTGGACTAATTTCACCCCCAAGCAGGCTTTGCACATATCCTTTTCAGGAATTTAATTTTATCTGTTGTGGGCTGCTGATATTGATCATTACTTTGGTTCTAATAAGACCATTTGGGACAAACTGGATCAGTAACATGCTTCAATTTAGTGCACCTGCTCATGTCTTTGCTTCTTCCTAGGCTCCTCCAAACCAACCGGAGAGAAAGGTGTTGTGCAGGAAAGTGATTTCATTTTATGAGAATATTTATAAAATACGAGGAGTTTCAATGATCTGAGCTAGCTTCTTTTGACTAGTAATTTAATATCCTGCTGCCCCCGTAAACAATCGGAGTTGGTAGGTGTCTATTATATTCAAAATATTGCACCTGCTGCAGTGAAGAAATTAAGATGTGTAAGACCGGTTCCATATCTGCAGGTATGAAATAATGATCCGGCCTGCAGATCAATCCGTGGGAAATTCCTGAAGGGGGAATGGGGATTAAATAAAAGACAAGGGGGAGACAAAGAGAGATGAAAGCAAGTCAAAATAATCCGATCAAGCTTCCGTTTATTTAGGAAATGATCACATCTTTTATAGGCCAAGGGCAGGAGGTGGGACAGGAAGAGGTTAAGGGGTGAATACAACAGGGTCACCATCACATCCGGATACGTGACGTAAGCAGGAGAGGATTATGGTTAATGTAGGCAGACGCAGTGCCCATAGGAGAGAGAGGCAGGGAGGCAGCAAAGGGCTGTCACTCGGCTCCCTACAAAATAATACATATAGGAAAAGTTCTCAGGATGAAGCAATACAGAAGAACCCAAAGGAGTCACTGACTGGTGGAAATTATGTCTCTTTTTTGGTTAGCAGGAAAACAAAACAAAAATACAGGAACACACTTGTAACCCCATATTCATGCAATTTCTCCTAACCATATCCCTCTATACCAGCCAGAATGAAAATAGGAGAGGGAAAGTTGTTACTTGTTACAAATAAATTCATAATATTTTTATTTTCTGCCAGCAAAGCAGCAGCAAAGTAAGATTCTTTTCATCACGTTTGTTATCCTTAGTTTTGTTGAGTTTAATTTTCAAAGGACAAACACATAAAATTTTATAAAAAATCATTTAATCAGGACATACAGTTTGCACATGTTCTACAATGAGGAGCAGAGGAGTTAAGGAATTGTCACACTCCGTTACCCAAAGCATCTCCTGCTGTCATGCTCTCCTTATGTACGTAAAATGAGGCTGAACGTGAGGCAGCAAAGTAAAGGGTAAGATGAGTGATTGTCTTAACTTCAGTTGCTAAACTGATTACTTTGAACTCCGAGACATTTCATAAAAACTGGAAGCAAGAATTTTCATGAATGGTTGAGAAATGGTTTAAGAGTTGCAAAAATTCTGACTTGGGAAAAATGTCTCCACTGGTGTTCATAGTCTAATAAATGCTTTGTAAATGAAGTGGTCAGGCCACAACACAGGAAGTGTTCAGGCAAGGCCCACAGGGAGGGTGAAGTTGGCCACTGATGAGATGGCACCAGCTCCATCGGAGCATCTGTTTCGAGAGAAGAATGCATGGTTAAAATGGAAAAATTTATGCCTACCTGCATTAATAAATGTAAAATGAAAGCAGGAAACTATTGGCTATTGCCTTCTTTTGAGTTAGCAACATGAGTGTACAACATTCTGATTTAAGATATATTAACCTATATCCTTCTAAATCTTTTAAAAAATATTACCCTGTCCTACTTGAGCAAGAAAAATAAATTTATATGTGTATAAAAATAAATATATATTTTAAACATAGACTTGCTATGATCACATTTCCAGATAGAGGCAGTTACACATACCATCTTCCTTTTAGCCCTAATGAGATGGTCTTGGGATTCAGCTGTAGAACTAAATACCCTTCACTGATTAAATCAAATGTCTAATGTGGATTCTTATAGTGAGTCAACTGGATTTCATTAAATTATGCTTGCAATAAAGGCAGTTGGAGCCATTGTCATGTGGTATACAAGAATCTCAAGACACGATGCAACGACAAGCAGAAACAGTGAAACCACACCCAGGATTTGGAGGCAGATTTATTTACATCAGTGGACATTGATAGAGATCCTTTCCAGAATATCAGGCCCTGATCTCTGGTGATCTGGGGCTTGTACTGGATAAGCAAGCAGAAAGTACAGAGGCAGAATGACTTGCCAGTTGGGGTTTTGTTTATACAATATGCATCATAGTGCCTGGTTGTTTGTAAGAGACAGAAGCAACCGGAACTGAAACAGGAACTATTACCTGGGCAACTAAGAAACTTAAGAATCCTGGCTGGAGTGGGGTGGGGTTACTTTCTGTTACAAAATGGCTTCGTGGAAAATAGAGCCTACTTCTAAAGAGAATGGACCTAACCAAATAGCTGCAAAAGAAAGGAAGCTACAGTACCATGTAGGAATAGGAAAGCAAACCCGCTAAGCAGACCCAATTACTAGAAAATAAGTCAAGCACCCTTGTCCTGAAGGTGGGTGATCAGCTGTGTCATTTCTATGTGAGAACAGGTTAAGCCATTGTTGTGAATGCGGTAAACTCTTTGCTTCTGAGATCATTTTTTCCTGTCTTTATTCTTGCTTTAGACCCTCGGCGGATGAGGCCCTGCAGTGGCGGGATTCCCTGGACAAGGTCCTGCAGAACAGCTGTAAGTTATATATGAAGGTCAGAAAAGGTACAGAGACAAAAAGCACCTTAGGGCTGCCTGTGTCCTTCTTCCCCAATTTTGACCTTTCTTCAGTTCTTTAAAGTGGCCCTAACGAAAGAAGAGTACCAAGGCAGTGTGGCTGTGGAGCTGGCTAGGAAAGTGAGATGCTGTGGGAGAAAGTGAATCCAGGGTGCCCTGGAGATGCGTGCTGCGGGGTCCCCTTCTTCTTCTTCTTCTTCTTCTTCTTCTTCTTCTTCTTCTTCTTCTTCTTCTTCTTCTTCTTCTTCTTCTTCTTCTTCTTCTTCTTCAAGGCAGAGTACAGCTATGTTACCCAGGCTGGTCTCAGGCTCCTTAGGCTAAATGACTCCTTCTGACTTAGCCTATCAAGTATCCAGGACTACAGACATGGGCCACCAGTGGAAAAACGACTTTTCTCTGTTCAGTCTCCTAATGGATTAGTAAGGGCTGGGCATAGCAGGTTCATTATCTCAGGGACAGTCAGAGTGCAGTCATATCTGTTCAAACCTTAAACTGCTTTTGTGACTTAACAATGGATTATTGTGGTCCCCTGCCTCAGTTTCCCCTTTTGGCAGCATGCCTCTTACATCTTCATTCCATACATGACAGTGGTACTGACCACTACAGAAATTCTTTCGAGCTAAACCCAGTAAAATCAATACAACAGTGAATATATTTACCTTCTCCTGATAAGTGTCCTTACTAATTTCCAAGGTTTTGAGCAGTTGTGGCAAACCTATGGCACGAGCGTTATTATATTTTTCTTTTAAGATATCAGATGTTAATATACGATTTTTTTTCTAGACTAAAACTTTAGTATGCAGGTTTAATTGCAGTCTTGGCACTTTGCAATAAATAAGGGGGCAGTGTAGCACTTGGTCTCTAAAAGGTTTACTATCTCTGGCTTAGAGTATCAAGCTCAAATTTCTAATGCTCATTATTCACCATGACAGCTATATGGCTGATCTTTAGGCAAACTAAACTGTTTTCTGTTTCCATAGGATTTCTCCTTGTACTCTTTTTGGCTGAAATAATGTCTTTAGCTGATTCTCATTCTCTTGTAGCAGCTAACAGTACTAAAAGCCTAGCTTTCCTGGACAATCCAAAACAAATTATCTTCCCCCTTGAACTTCCACAGCCTTTGTTTTGTATTAACAGTTGCAAAGTTTTATTAAAGGTAGAAAAAAAAAAGCAAACCAGGCTCTGCAGAATGAGTTTGGACCAAGTGAAAGCTGGAAGAGAAGCCCACCACACAGTGTGAAGGCAGGCGCTCAAGCAAGGGAACATGAGCCACTTAATGCTTTTTGCCACTTAATGCTTACTGTGTTGTATTCTGTTTGTAGCTCTCTTCCTCTGTGGTAGATTACCAGCCCATTGGCAGACAGGACTTATTGTTTTTTAACCAGATAATTTCACAAACAGGAAATGCATCGAATGAAGAAAGCAAACATTTGTTGACTAATTCACTGTAAAAGAATGATTCAACTTAAAATCCCAGCCCATATTTTTTCCTAGTAACCATAATAAGAATGGAATATGAAATTTAGCAAAAATAAGAATTTTTGAAATGTCTTTTATCAGGTCATTGTGATTAACGGGTAAAAAGTAAATAATGAAGAATGTACGTTAAATTATATATATGAACACTTTTTCTTTTGTTTCTGATGAAGTGTCTTCTGTCTTACCAACAATAGAGTCAATCTCTTTCCAAGACCACTAACCTGGAATTTTTCCATTTGGATTAATTTCTGAGTCTCTTCTTGTTTATTTTGCTCAACGGAGTACTGTGTTCTGACATATCTAGGTATTCAATAAATATTAATTGAATGAGTGAATGAATTAATGAACTAGTTTTGCTGTTGAATATGCAGGCATTCCATAAAATTGGCTAGAGGAACGCAGTTTATTAACTGATCTATCGTCTTGCCCCAGTATAGGGGCTTTTAGCAGTTGACAGATGACATGTTGATAAGTTATCCATGGTAAATACCTAGGTTGAGGTATCTGTTACTATTATAAAAAATGTGAGTCAGCAAAGTTCCTTTCATATGTGCAAAACGGTTAAGGAGGAGGGTAAATGCTGTGTGCCTACACCCAGTCTTTTCAGTTACACTAAATCTTAAGGCCACATTCTCTCATTTCAGGCTTTTAGGTGTGAGAAAGCTATGGATAGGAAAGCTAAAGGTAGAGGTGAGCCAGGGTACCTTAATGTCAATACTGCAGTATTTGTTTAGAAACCAGTATTTTTAGCTTGGATGCAGATAGTTATCCTTTGTGAACTTGAAGCCCAAGATTCTCATCAATATTTCCTATTTCTCAGAGAGAAAATAATGTGTGTGTGTGTGTATATATATATATATATATATATATATATCTGTGTATTTATATATGTATGCACATCTGTACTGTTCATAATGTGTCATCTAATTGTACATAATTATATTTTAATTTATGTGTGTTTACATTTATGTATGTGTCTATAACCTTAAACTTGAGATAATAATCTTAAGTAAATTATATTTCTAATGCTGTCTCTTAATTTCCCTAAAGAAATAAATGGTTAATTATTCTGTAAATATTCTAGTCAACTCTTTCCTTGAAAAGTACACCTGTCCACTCAAATCAGCTTGAACAAAACAGAGGATTTATGGAAGCAATCCCCAACCTTTGTACCCCAGGGATGGGTTTTCAGAAGATTATTTTTCCATGCAGGAGGGGTGAGGAAGAAGGTGGAGGTCAGAGATAATTGGGGGGATTCAGGATGATTCAGCCACATTATGTTTATTGTGCCCTTCATTTGTATTATTATGACATTAGTTTCGCTCCACAGAGATCCCCTGGGGGTATAGTTTACAGTAGGATTCTGGTTTCTTTGAGGGTATAGGGTCAGCTGCTGTGACAGGGCAGAGCTCAGGCCATGAAGGAGCCACGAAGCCCAAGTACAGATGCTTATCAGGCTTGCACTGGTCACCTCCTGCTATTTATAGCACCTCTGCTAACAGACCACAGACCGCTACCCTCAGTGGCTCCCAGGTGGGAATCTCTGGTTTAAGGTATGGCTCTAAAACATTTCCCAGAAACAAGGAGTCTTTGCCTTGCAGGGAATGCAGCCATAAGCAAGACAGTCCCTTGTTTCTCTGTTCTTACTGCTTCTTAGTCTCTCTCTTTTTCTTTCTGTTTCTTTCTGTCTCTTCCTCTTACTCTCTGTCTCTGCTTTCTGTACTTCCCTGACTATTCTTCCTACAGATGAAGCAGTGGAATTACACCCCCCCCAAATGATTCTGCCCAATACCATCAACTTGGGTAAATTATATTTGCCTAATCCATGCACATCAGCTATTGTGCATCGTGAGTACTTGTAAGCCAAATGTTATCTACTCAGTTCTTATGAGATGGACTTAATTTGAATCTTTTTAAATTAAATCCATCACCAAAAAATGTCTAAGATTAGTTATGATGTTCTAAGACAGGTAAGGAAGACAGATAACATTTGAGAAATTTGTACACCTAAAAACGTCAAAATTCCCTCTGGTATTTTGCTTTGCTGGATATAAACCATTTAAACTTGAGGAGCAGTGTCTTTATCTATAAAAAAAATGTGCGTTAGTTTGTGCTAACACATGATATTTTATGTCACCCTTGATAGAGTTGCTAAAGCATTCTTGAATAAAAAAATTTTAAAAATATTGAATCAAAATAAAATTAATTGGGACCAAGTTGGTACAAAATAATGAAAGAGTTAAGCTGTTAACCTTTTCTAGCTCTCAAGACTCTGCTCACCTTTATGCATTTCATAAGTAATTTTAATTAAGTATACTCAACTGTGTTCTGAAACTATACCAACTTCTTGCATGTTTTCCTTCTCAGTTTTATCGTGACACTGTTTCTGTTTTATAGGTTCAAGGTGCCCAGAACCAACGTACTGCACTATTAACACAAAAAACAATTGCACATGGGAGCTTATGTAACATAGTGACAGTGAATAATTGTCTCAAATGACCATATTTATGAGCCCAGGAAGAATGAAACCCAGTCCAGCAACAGCAAAGTTTTTATGTGGTTTCTCTTTTCCCAGGAGCTTGTAAAAGTCAGAACACTTCCTTGAGACACCCTTGGGATTTGGAGTCTCCCATGGGGAATCAAGTTGCCTGATCCAGGCTCACTAATTTTTTTTTTTTTTTTAGTGTTTGGGTTTTCCTTTTACTTCTCCCTTTAGTTTCCAGTTTTTTTCCTTCTCTCTTGTGACTCATCTTTACCATCATTTTAGCCAATGGCTACCATGACTGTCATTTAAGGTAATAATTATAGTAATCAAACTAATAGTTTGATTTATTCTTCATCATGTGCCATGCCCTATTCTAAACACTTTTCATATATTAGTTTATTTAATGACTGCAAGAATTTCAGAACTAAAGTACAATAACAATTTGTAATTTTCAGAAATGGAAACTGATTCAGAGATAGCTTGCCCATAAAATAAAATACTAGAGAAATAGCAGAATCACATATTTATTTTTCTCTAAAATTTGTGTCAGTTGGTTCCGTGAGGAAAGAAATATTCCCACTAATATGTCCTATTTAGTGCAAGGGATTGGATAATAAAAAGAGGCAAAGATAAGTGAAAGTTGAACATAGAACTTGAAGAATTAATAGCATTTGCATAAGAAACAATTCCCTAAACAGAACAAAAGCTGATCTCTTCCCTCCTTATAATAAATATCTTCAAGAAAAAGCAGAAGATTTTGAGTAATGACTTTGGGCAATATTTGAGTTGGACTTTGAATAATAACAAAGAATAATTTTAAATTATTATAAATAATGATCAATTATGATAAATAATAAATGTTATAATAAAGTATATATCATGAATATAAAGTATTATTAAATATAATTATAATTAAATATCAGTAAATTATTGCCAATATAAGTTATAATAAATTATGAATAATTTATATTACTATGAATAATGATTTTAAGTTGTTATGAATAATGATGATAGAAACCAACATGTATTGAGCTACACAGTGACAACCATGTTTGGCAACATATAAGAGTTTTATTCGAATTACTTAATCCTTATCAAAACCCATTCGGATATGTTCCATTATTATCTCCATGTAACAGATGAGACAACAGAGATGCCAATAGGTTGAAAAACATTGCCCAACTTATTCCACTAATAAATATGTCTGGATTCACTCCCTGGCAATCTTGGCGCTAGAGCTCATACTTTGAACCAAGAACAAATGTAATACACTCACCGATTATCAATGCCATTTCATTTCCTCCCCATCTCCTCCACCCCTTATTGAAGATATTTGTGTTAATCTAGTTTTCTGTATTTTTCTCCCTTTATACCAAACTGCTTGGATTTACACAATGCTCCTTTTATTCTCAATGTTGTCTTACAGGTAGTATTAATTTGTTCTTACACAAGGATTATAATGCAAACTGCAACTCATAATGTTTGTCCAAATCCAGGGGGTCAGATGGGTTCATCTGCTTCCTGGGTGGTGGATGTCTGAAGAGCTATGTTACGGGTATTCTAAGGCTCCATGAAGATTCAGCAGGGAAGGAGATGGGGCTCAGTCAAAGATACATGCTGGGAGCTCCACAAGGCTATAGAGTGGGCAAGGGAAAGTGATAACACAAAGAAAATGTATATTCTTTACAGAATAAAGATGTTTGGCCTGAAGTCTTTTCAACTCTAACCGAAGAAGACATCCCGCAGGGTTATGGGAATTCAACAGAGAAAGACGCTGAGAAATGGACCAGTAAGAAAGCCAACGAGGAGAAAATGCCTTAAGAGTGGCCTAAAGGATCTCAGTAAGAGAACCTCCAGAGAATGCTCAAAAGCAAAATGAGAAAAACAAGTTTTAAACATCTCTGAGACCTACAGGCTATCAGGCCAATTTTTGAGTTTTGGTTTAAAATATACACATTGACAAAGCCATTGAATAGTACTTTGGAATTCAATGAGTGACAAAACCAAACCCAGGAAATGGACTCACAACACTGGAAAGTTATTTTCCATGCTCTTAATGACATGACTGTGAAATTTTTACAGTGTGTCCTCACGTCTTTGAGAGGACTGATATTTAATCTCCATTTTGCAAAGATTTAGATGGGTGAGTCAGTGCCTGATTATAAGACGATGGGGCTAATGAGGATTATTTTGCCACTGGCGCATTCTATGGAATTATTTATCTCTGCAGTCTTCAACCTTGGTTTTTAAGGAGCTCATAAGACTTCATTTCCTGGCAGCTAGAAAGTGCCTGAGAAATTTTCCATTTCAGCAGACTCTGACACCTTTTGCGTATGAAACAGTAAAAACTTTAACCGGACAGAGAACAAGATTATATGTTTACTTTTAGCATATAGGTTGACCCTTGTGTCACTAAATTATGACAAATAGTGCTGGAATAACAGTGGAAAACATGGTGGGGAGTAGAGAGAGGGGAAGAAGGAGAGAGACAGGGAGAAAGAGAGAGAGAGAGAGAGAGAGAGAGAGAGAGAGAGAGAGAGAGAGAGAGAGAGAGAGAGAGAGAGAACCTGGTATTATCCAGAAACAAGTTATCAAAAGTTTTTTAATTAATTCCCAAAACCAAGTGTTGTAGTCAGGGGTTGTACAGAGAAAACTTAGAATCAGGACATGCAGTTTATAATATTATTTTTATAATGGTCACTGGGAGTTAGCACAAGAAAATGCAAATCAGTCCGCAACATCAAAGACATAGAATATTTAGCCAAGGGCCTAAATCCCACAGCAGTATCCCACATGAGTCCAGATGAAAACCTAGAGCTCATGACAATGCCTCCCACAAGTCCAACTGGAGGTCCAGAGCCCACAAGAAGGACTCACAGCAGTCTCGTTTATGGATCTGTGCTGGGAAGGACCAAAGGTCAGCAGTAGAAGCCAGAAAGTCTATGCCAGCAGGATGAAGGAGCTGTACTGATAGGTTGCGAGTTCTATGCTGGAGCTGAGAAGTCACACTCACAACAAAGACCAGGGCTATCCTGAAAGGCACCATAGCCATTCTCAGTGACACAGAGGCCCCAAGCTCCGACGACGACAAGCACAGTCAGGTACATGCCAGGAAGCCAGCATGACGAGTTCATCCTGGAGATCAAGCAGCACACGTCTTCCACTCCAGAGCCAGGAAGCAATGCTCAAGTGAGGACCAGAGCTTCTCCAGGAGAACCAATGGCCTGAAGAGCAACACGTAGGAGAACCCACAATGCCTCAATGCATCTTAACATGTCTCAATGCATTAATGCCTAACTTCTCCTTCTCCACGTCTCTATTTATGCTGGCAACTTTCCTCAGGTGGAATATCTGCGCTCAGCACCATGCTGACGGAATCCAGCTGGCGTTAAGTTGACCACTAGATTTTAATCCATAACACCAAGTTTCTAAAGAAAATTGTGTATCAAAACTATCAATGTTCCTAGATATTTTTAATAATAAAAATAAAAATATTTTAAGGTAGGCACAGGGAGAGAGGATTAGAATGCATAGTGCCTTGCTTGGTTCTTGAAATTGATAGTAAACCTAACCCAAGTTAATTTCACTCTAGTCAGTCATTTTCTTCAAAATTGAGTATGATTGCAGTGACTGTGAAGATCCTAGGGACATAAAATGTATAAAAGGTAAATTAAAAATTAAAGAATGACTCTTTAATTCTGGTTTAGTTATCACGTATATTTTGTGCTTATTTTGTGAAGTCAATAGGTTAAGCAAGGACTAAGGAATGGAACTTCAGAGTCTATAAAAAGAAGCAAGGGAGTATTCCAGAGGAAAAATGGGTTGAAATGTGATCAAAGAAAATGAATTCAGTGTGTGAATGTGCTCCATAAGCAAAACTAATGAGCTATAAAAGTCTCTGGGTGAGGCCAATTTGGATGAAACCCAGACACTGAAATAGTGGTGACTGTCATTCTTGTTTCTGTCCCGCAAAGCAAGTGACACTCCAGGCATGTTCCCATGGGTAGACTGTGTGGTACCTTATACAACCTGGGAAATTCTTTTTCTCCTTAGAAATTTTAACTTTTCTTATATAATAAATAGACATGTGTTCTCTTCCTAAAAAAGACACATTTTTTTGGAATTTTGGTTACACATTAAAGAAAAAATATAGGTCTATTTTTTTCTTTTTTCCTTATTTGACTCCAGTCCTGTCAGCCTGACTTTCTTCCTTCCTTTCTTTCTTTCTTTCTTTCTTTCTTTCTTTCTTTCTTTCTTTCTTTCTTTCTTTCTTCTTTCTTTCTTTTTTTCTTTCTTTCCTCTCTCTCTCTCTCTCTCTCTCTTTCTGTCTCTCTCTTTCTTTCTTTCATTCTTTCTTTGTGTATGTGGGTCATACTGGAGAATAAGCTCAAGACCTCCACACTGAGCCACATCCCTAAGTCTTTAAAGAAAAATTGTTTTAGAGACAAGGTCTCACTCAATTTTCCAAGCTCGGCTTGGACTTGCAATCCTCTTGACTTAGCCTCTCAAAGCGCTGAATTTATAGGCATGTGCCACCAACACCCCCAGCATTCCAGTGTCTTCTCCTTTTTCCCATGTCTTTTAAAATCCTCTATATTTGTGGATTTAATTCACCTACCACTTTAGAGATTAATACTAGAAATGTAGGAAATGCAAAGCAAGGTCTGAGAACTCTCATATATATATATATATATAATATATATATATATATACATATATATGATATTTATATCTGTATGTAGATGCATGTTTTCATATATAAATATGTTCCTCAAAGTGGAAACTGGAGTTTATTGTATAGAAGCAACAGTAACCTAGAAACCTAGGAGCACAATTGTTGGAATGTATTAAGTTCAATGTTTTTTACAACTTGACATATAATTAATCGATGAGCATAATAATTATTCTATGTGTGGCATCTGTGTCTGGTCTCTTCCTTGCAGATCATTTGAATGTCACTATCTCACCTTCCCTCAAACTGACTTAGAGTTTGGCCCCTCCTGTGATTCTGTGACTATCCTTCCTATAGTTTTTCCTTCACTGTGTAAATATTTGGTGTGTTTCTTCACCGTCTTTCTACTTCCCCCACAGTGTGTAATCTCCATTAGGGCAGGTTATTTTATTTGCCATAGTGACTGATTTTATAATGCATGAAGCATGATCACTGATTAAAAAATCATCTATAGAAAGAAATAAATAGGATAATAAGCCATTTTACATGATACTGAGCATTACTATTACTTACACTGATAAACCAAGATTTAAATGTATTCTTTCCTTTTGGTTACATGGTATGTGTTCAGAATGGCATTTTTATCAATAGTGTTTCTTGAGCCATAAACAGAAATCATTTATCACCTAAATATGCACAGCCTGCAATTGTTTAAAAGACGATGTGGTAAATAAACCTCTGTCGATGCCAGAGGCATCTGTGACTGTCCCTGGTGAGCAGGTCTGAAGCTCAGAGTTCTCTGCTTTGTCCCAACTTCTCTATCCCTTTTTCATTCTAATGAGGGGATAAAGAAAGGCAGGTGAGAATGAACAAAACCTTTGGTCATAAAATAGCATTGCTAAGCTCTTTCCTTCTCTTTCTCTGTGACATTTGTGTTGGCCTTTTATTTCTTTCTCAGTTAAAGTGCTATAGAAAAGCATGCAGCCATTATTGGACAGTATTTTGTCCCAGAAGATAAACTGCATATCTCTTGAGAAGTGGTTTAGGATAATGGAAAAGTACACAGACTGTTAAGTCAGACTGCCTGGGTTTGAATCCTGCCTCTGCTACTTACCAGATGTGTGTCTATGTGTGGTCATTTGATCTCTCTGACTTCATTTATAAAATAAGATGTTTACAATACCTGCCTCTTAGGATGATAGTGAAGAAGAGTGACAACACTGTAAGGTTCCTACATTGATTAATATATGCCACATATAGTGCCTAGTAAATAAATTAACAAATTTCCCCAAATTGACTTTGACTTTTTCTCCTGGTAGATGGGCTTGCCAGTTTCAAAAGTTTCCTGAAGTCCGAATTCAGTGAGGAAAATCTTGAGTTCTGGATTGCTTGTGAGGACTACAAGAAGATCAAGTCCCCTGCCAAGATGGCTGAGAAAGCCAAGGAAATTTATGAAGAATTCATTCAAACAGAGGCTCCCAAAGAGGTTGGTCCTGAGGGGCCGGGGGTGTTGGTGGTGGTGGTGAGTGTGGCCAATTAGGGATCAGATAAACAAATTGTTGAGAAGAAGTTAGACCTGAGATACAGTGTAAACCTGTGAAACTTATTAAAGGCTACTTTTGCTAGTGAGTAGGTCACATAATCAGGCATCTCCTGAGTACCAAGGCAGAGGGAAGTGATCAAGCAGATAGAACTCATCCTGTGTAGTACTTTGTGAGCTTCTAGATCTTTCTTCAGTAGAAGAGTGAAAGAAATAGTAGTAGTGTGCAATCCTGAGAGAATCATTGAATCTTTCTGTATCTAGATTCTTCTTTTGGACAAATAAGAATAATAGAGACTCTTTTGTACAGTTGTGAGGATTAAGTTAAATAACCAGTAAGTTAAATAACCAGTAACATAGCTCAATGGATATTCCTACCACTTGTTTTGTCTCTGCTTTTTTTCCTCTTCTATTTATTTCATTCAGTCTCCTCCTTTCCTTCACTCTCTAGTCTCATCTTTTATTTTCCTGGCCCTCGGGCTTTGACATTTACACTCTAGTTAGGACTTCCACACACAATGGCCAAAATAGCACAAGAGCATGGTGCTAGAGGTGTTTAAAACCACAGTATCATGAATTTACTACTGAAGACTATAGCCTCAAAGAAGGTCTAGGAGGAATTTGTCTACTCTTTTCTTTGCAACCAATGAAACCAAACTGAAAAACCTGTTAAAAAATTCAGGGTGGTCACAGTAAGACTTGTTCATCCAATGGTAGTTAGGTCACTGTAATTCCACATTCCTCCTTTAGTCGGTTGGGAAATTAAATATCTCAAAATATCTGGAGTCAAGCACAGAGTGACTGGACAACCCTCTGTGTAGCCAATAATCTATTTAAGACAATATGAAAGGAGAAAATCTCGAAGATTTCTTTTCTCCCACATGTGTGCTCAATTCAAGTTCTAGCATTTGGTATTTATTCCTTTGGTTGTGTGTATCACCCTTCACTGGCCCTTTTTAATATGTGGATATGTTTGAGTAGATGGATTAATGATGTAATTTAATACCAACAGATGTGCTCCCTTCATGACATGAGAGGGTGGAAAACAAGAGCATGAGGTTGTAAAGTATGTGGCTCAAAATCTAGAAAATGCAAAAAATTCTAGGAAGGAACTAGATTTCATTCTCTCCAGGATCCCCTCTTCTGCTCAATCACCTATTCTAGAGGCATTTGCTGGCTCTCTCCCACTTTTGATAGCATTTTTGTTGGGTCATCTTTTGTTCTGACAGTATGGAATTTATGTACATAAGGAAGAGATTAATTAACAAAGAATCCATTTACTTTTAAATTGAGCATACAAATCCTTGTTCAAACTCTGTTCCTAATTTGCAAACTTCAAGCTTCCTGGCAACCTCATTCCTCTTTACAGAGCTCTCGGATTTGTTAAAATGCCTGAAAATGGAAGAGATGTAGCCAGACTATTGATAGAACTGTGGGGGACCGGTGGTGGCTGAAAAGATAAGGAGTATGAAACATAAATGACCTTTATTTTGAGAATGTGGAGAGAGACACCCCCGATCCCCTGTGGCGCGGCATCTTCCCCGGGCCGGGGTCAGTGATCTCTCCGTGGAACACGTGGAGTGGAGGCATATAAGTAGCCTAGGTTTGGGGAGCAACCTAAGAGGGCATTATGGATGCACAGGTAGCCCATTGGTATTCTTTTGGTGCCAGAGGTAGATTCCTAGGGGTGGGGAAGATGGAACTCCTTGGTTCCACCTGAGGCTTTACCCGCTACAGTGTCTGGCCTGGGCCAAAACTCTTTCAACTGTCACCAGTTACTCTGAGATTGTTCTTGAGGTTTCTTACCTGAACATGATTGGTTATGAAATATATGGGACATTAATAAATATATTTTCAAAATAAATAGAATCCTGACTTACTGATCTACTAGAACAAATAAATGATGGCCACCAATCACATTCCTCTAGTTAAAAATCGATTTGACCTCTATTGTAAATAATGAACACCCAGGGACATGGCTCAGTGGTACAGTGCCTGCCTGGCAGGTGTGAGGCCATGAGTTTGATTCCTGGTACCAATAATAATAATAATAATAATAATAATAATAATAATAAATACTCATATAGGGGCATATCATAAGCATTTAATAAATATTTGTGATTAATTAATACAAATATGCCAATTCAAACCTTCCTATATGTGTGACTTTAAGTCTCTAAATCCTCAATTCTTGCTAATCCTAATCCTCAGGCTTCTTAATTGCAAGCATTTCATGTACATATATTATGCTTGGAGTATATTTAATAAATTGTCATTATCACTACTTTAAAATTCTGCAAATCCTGAACTTGACTTAAATATTTACTGATTTTTTTTTTGGCTGTACTAAGAACTAAACTCAGGATCTTTATTGACAGCAATGCCCCCATCTTTTCTTTTATTCTTTTATTTTGAGACAAGTTCTTACTAAGTGGCTAAATTCCCCAGGGTTTGTACCTGCAATCCTCCTCACTCAGCCTCCCAGAATCCTGCGTCTCAATGTGCCTGACTTACAATTTCATTTTGCTGCAATTGGTCTATATAGCAAATTTATTCAGACCAGTAGTAACTTACATTTTCTTTCTCTAAATATTAACCTCAACCCTTCAATATGAGGAACTGAGAGACACAGTGGTAAGAACAGGAAGTTAGATTTCAAAAGAGAAATGGCTATGTGTAGTGTCATAAGTAGATCATTTATACATTTCAAATTATCTTTTGAGCATATTTAAATCAGTGAAATAATATCTCCTTAACTCAGTAAATAGTGAATGTGTATCAGAATAAGTTTTTAGAGAAGTTATGTGTATATAAAAATAATTTTTAAAGTAGTTACTATTTATTGGTGGATTCTGTGTTACAGGGTTTTAAAGGTATCACTTAGACTAGATGATACTCTTATAATTTTTGTAGTTCAATCATTTGGGATAAGGGTACTTATGTTGCTCTAGAGAAAAAGAAATATTGTTTTCATTTGGTAGGAACAATACACTGAGACTAGATAAATGCATATTGCAGTATGTCCCCATATTTGCCCCACACTAGTTGTGCTTGTTGGGTATAATATTGTTGGGCTTCAGAGACATCACACGTAAAGACAGGCTCTGGACCCCATCACAGCTGAGGGTGCTCCTAATCCTGACATTCTCGCTTCCACCATGCCTGAATTAAGAATATGGCCCCAGACTTTGAAGCATAGCTCACTTCCGCTGTCTGTTCTGTCCCGGTACTCTCCAGTTATTCCTCTGTCTCACTCTGACCTGCAGCTGTTCTATAATTACCTGAGCTCCTTTCAGTGGTCCTTCCAAGTCAGGACCATTGGCTGCTTTGGATGATATTTCTTTCCTTTTTACATTCAGACCCCTTAAGACCTATTAAAGCATACAATGTGAAGTAAAAATATTCCATCAAATTATCCTCAGGCAAACTCATGCAGGTTACATCCTGCACAGGGGAGTCATTCACAATGCTGAAGTATGAATGGTGTCCCGGAAGCTGGCTCCTGCTGTGGCCCAGTTCTTGGACATACATAAGGTGAAATTGAAAAATGCAGTGAATGTTCACTTTAAAAATATGGTACAGTACATTCTCTTCAATATTATCCTTCATACTTCAAACACACTTATATCACCTTTTTTTTTTTTTTTTTTGCCATTTTCTGAAGTAGTTTTGGAAGTGACTATCAGAATGTGTGATTTAAAAAATGCAATGAATTCTTCTACCAAATGGCATCCAATGGAAAGTCAAGCTTGTAAAAAGTGTTATGATGTGTCCTTGTCCACTGCTGGCCCTTCCCAAAGTCAAAATGACCATGAAGGGTACAAATGTTTTAAATGGAGTCAGAACATCAAGGCAGCCACCACAGCATGAATAAAAGCACTCATAACAGAGAATTTCTGGAGCTGTTTCAAAAACTTGCGAGAATGATAGGAGAAGTGTGTTTGAAGTGAGGGCGAATATTGAGAGGGGGATTAACATTAATACATTTTAAAATTTAAACATTCACTGCATCTTTCAGTCTTATCATATATAATCCTTTCCTTTAAAATTAAAGCATCATTCTTTGGGCTGTTGTTGGAATTAAACAAGATAAACGAGGGTGGGCTACTGGTGGAGGGTCTGACTTGGTGGATGTCTGACTTTGGCTGAGTCTGAAATTGAGTTGTGCAATTTGAAAGCAACAGTTGTCTTACCTCTTTGCAGACGCAGTATTTCTCACGTTTTAAGACTTTCCTCCCATCTTGTATTTTATTGCTAAGAAATTCTGCATCCCTTCCCAACCTTTATCAGACCCTGGAGTCTGCCCTGACTCGGTGACTTTGTTTCCTGGTCCACAGGTAAATATTGATCACTTCACTAAAGATGTCACAATGAAGAACCTGATGGAACCTTCCTTAAACAGCTTTGACATGGCCCAGAAGAGAATCCATGCCCTGATGGAGAAAGATTCACTGCCTCGCTTTGTGCGCTCAGAATTTTATCAGGAGTTAGTCAAGTAAAAATATGGTGAGGCTATAACAATCATCTTGGGAGTTATGCCCTCCATAATCACACTGCATTTTTCAATAACCTATACAGCTTCGCACCGCAGCTTTGCTCAAAATACCCAAATCGGGAAAATCCCAAAGAGTGTTGCTTATTTGCCCATGTTGTTTTGGACGTGGATCTATTATCCTGTCCAGTGCTTTATTTTTCATTTCTTTTTGCTATCTCATTCTTAATTAAACCCTATCCAGGAATTCTGTCAGCCTCAATCAGAATCACAATATTCTTCCTAAAACAAAAATACAAAAGAAAAAAATACGGTATCATTAAATGTGGGTTTAGACAGAAAATGATCACCCTCTAAATTAGTCTAAGAGAGAATACAGGTGTGAAAGACCGGTTTCAAAAGGGAGCATAAATGATCTGGTTTATTGTTTTAATTTCTGTTCAGGGTGATCACCTCCTAATTACTTCTGAATTTGGTTAGTAAAAGTGTAAGATTTCACTTTATTTTCAAGAAAATACATTATTCAAACTACTGATCTTTCTTTTAAAGCATCTTCCTGTTAACTAGATACCATGGAGATATGATAAACGCAATGTGTTTATACAAAATCAACCTGAATACAAATCATATTAATTCATAATTACCTCCTTGACTGTCTGTCCTGTATACTTACCAAACTCTATTTTAAATCCATGGCCTAAAATCAACAGTGAACTACATATAAATTTATCTATGCCCCTGTGATATAAGCCAAAAGTTTCAATTTTCAAGTCATTGAGATTCTTGTGAAGGTACAATTAGTTCAAAAATTCTAATTCCGGTCACATAAATTAAAACTGTTGCTATGTATTAATGATGTTCCACTTCAATATCAAGAGGCCAATCCACTAAAAAAGGAAAATAGTGTTCAACTTAAAATGGCTAATTACCTTAGGATGCCATCTGTTTTTTTGCAAAGATGATTGTCTTCAAAAACAAAGATTAATATTCATAAAAATTAATGTGACTGTATGTGGAGGCTTTCTACGTGAGACAGAATTTTACTTTAAAATATCCTGTGTTTTGCAAAATATTATGATCTTCTAGCAAACCATCTTCTCACACTGTTTTGCTTCCTACATTAGTAACTTGTAACTGTAGTGAGAAAATCAGATTTATATTCCTGACATGCCTCATATACAACTAATCTATAGGTCATAACACTTTTTAGTAGGTTTGAACTTTAATTCAGTGTTTCATTATTACACGTCTTGGCAGAATCTTTTGCTTATCTTTAATAAATCTGATTAAGTAATGATTTACATAAGTTAGCAGTAAATTAAAACGAACTGAACCAGGCATGAGAGTAGTAAGGTGAGGGAATTGAGTGAATCTACAAGAAAATGGTTTTGAAAAGCTTAATAAAATTCTGAAATGTGTAAGTAGAAGTTTACATCATTTAGTCTTGTATTTCCTACTTTGGTTACTCTTTTTCATTAGCACATTTTTAGTATGTATATAGCTCATTCAGTTACTTCCTGACAATACTGCAAGTAAAGAAATAACGTTACTCTATTCTTTGGCAAACACATGGTGAATTTTCTGGCTTTTTTTCTTTTTTTTAATTGCAAAAGATAACATGTCTGAATAGGCTGACATTTCTCATTTTGAAAGTAGTTCGGAGTGACTGGTCCACAGCTGCAGTTGGTATGAATTTCATTCATTCTCGTCCATGTTGCCTACTTGAGAGAAACTCCTAATGAGTCGGGTCACAGCCGGGTGGGATCAGTCTTGTGAGCATGAAGAAGTTCTGGGCCCACACACTTGTGTGAGATGGACGAGGCGCTCAGATCAAAGGTTCCACGGTGTCCTTTGGCACTCTGTTTCTCAACAACTGTCTGCTCTGCTCAGAATCACCTGGACCAGCACCAGCCCTTGATTTTCTCATGCAGCTAGAAATGTTAGGAACCAAAGAATATAAGGGAGTTCTTTCTTTACCGAATGCCAAATGTTTTAAGAAAAATGTAATTAAACATTTTAAAATCGCATCCATATTATTTGAAATACGCCAAGTGTTTTGAAGTGCCCACAGAATAAACTAGATTTCAGAGGTTTTATCCGGTGGTGCTGTTGTGAAGACTCCGATTGATCCTGTTTACCAACACACCGCACACTCCGTGTCAGTGGAGGAGGAGAAGGGCCTTAGCTTTGCATAAGCTGACCCAGGAGGCAAAGAACAGGAAAGATACAGTAAGGGCCATGTTGTAAAAGCTATAAAAAGATGAAAAGAAATAATGTCCTCCAGCTAACAGGTGACATTTTCCCATATATTTATATATATCTATGTCTGTATAACTACATATAAATTTACATTTAAAGTGGCGTATATATATACACATATATTTGAAATTCTTCTAACATGTAGAAATAAAATGAATATAATATATGAGCCCAATATAAGAAACAAATTACCCTAAATGTTTTTTGAAAGCTTTTTTAAACATACAGGGAATAAAGCCCTGTTTATGTAGCAGTTTCCAAGGATACACACATATGCACACAAAAAAATATATTTTTCTAGTTCTGGAAAATTAGAAAAAGTGGAATAAGCTTTCCAGAAAAAAATGCGTAACATTTCTATATTACTCCTCTTACCACCTCCATTTCCTCTCTACTTTCCCTTGCCTGGGAAAGCAGGAAACTTAATGCAGGAGCCTGTGGGGCTCATATTTTCTTTCCCTGTGAAAATGGAACCAAAATTGTAAGTGGATTTCGGAAGGATAGATGTGGTGGAACTATATTTTGGTCAGCGGAAGTAGAGAGAATATGATCCTCACTAGAGAGAAACTTAGGATTAGTCCAAGTAATGCCCCGGATCTAAGAGTTTCTGCCCAGGGTTGATATAGTTGGTGTTGGGTCAGACAAAAATTTCAATTAGAGCAGGATAAAGAGACACACTATTAACTGTAGAGTAAATCAGGAGGCGTTTATCTGCTTTTCCATGCAAGCATCCGTCCGTTTATCTCCTGTTCCTCTACACACACACACACACACACACACACAGAGGAACACATTTTCTTTCTCCTAGGTAGGCACCTTTTGGAACATAGGATTGAAGTATATTAGTAACTCAGCTTTCAAATCAAGAGTCAAGCATGAAAACATTTTGTTCCACCTCCACAATACTCTGTGTAATAGAATTCTTTATAAACTCTGTTCTAAGTAAATTTCAGGGTTTAGTGCCTAAGGTTGAAGTTTGTGAAAAATTTGTTTTTATTTTCGTTCTCCTCAAAGTCATTGATTTTACTTGGCGATGTGTTCTCTGTGCACAATCCATCTCAGCTGGATGAAAATTACATCCAAAAAATAATTGGTATCCAGAAGTTTCAACAAAAATTTGAGCATTAACAAATCAATTGATAAACTAATAAACATTCCCTTCTAGGGCTTTGCCAAACTGTCACAAAATTACAAATTTAATGGCTTGAGAATCACAGAGAGGGTTACCTGTATATCAGGGAAATGACTTGTACTCCTAAAAGTGCTCCTTTTAGCAGGCCAGTTTCAGTTTCCTGACAATTTAGTAGATTTGGAAGAGAATGGGCCAGAGAAAAGGAAGAGAGCAGACGAAGAAGTGGGAAGGAAGTACTCAGCCTGTGAATTTTACCACTAGCTAGAAACACTGAATCGTAGCTCGGCTTGAGGAAAATCTATCCACTTCTTGCTCTATCTTCCAGATTCTCAGGGAGGCCGTTCTGGACCCAGAATGCAGTTAGGTGAGAAAGTTCATTTTGCTATCACAGGCAGCCTTCACTAGAAGAAAAGAGTGGATAAGGGGGACCTCCATTCTGTTTTGACTCGCAGTTGCCAGAAAGCATGTAGGAGAACTGAGTTTTCAACACCCAAACATCCAAACCCAAGGGCTAGGCAACTCTATGTAGGTTTGGATTTAAGTCTTGGTGTGTCTCAGTGTGTCTTGCCCTAATAGTTATTAGAACCCTCTAATTATGTAGTCTTTTGATTCTATTAGAAAAGCATGAATTTAACATTTGTTAAAAGTTAAAAACTTAGCAGCTGCCTCTTGTGTAAAACATACTTTTCATCAAATAGATTCTGTGGCAAACCAGAGCAGGCACTATTTCAAGGAAGGCTTTCCTCAGCACCAGTTAACCATTCTGAAATGGGAAAGGTCAGCTTTCCAATTGAGGAGAAGTCTGTAACTTTGAATGGGAACTCATAGCAGAGAGTGACAAGCAAAATATGCAAATAAATCTTTGCAGTATTATCTTCAACTCACAGTTTAATAATAATCGTCTTGTTTTAGTGGGGAATCTAAAAAACCTTATTCATACTCAGTTTAATTACTCTCCTATAAGTCATTTATTTGCACTTCAGATATTTTTCCTTCCCATTTCACCCTATACTTTCCTTTCTATTCTCCCTCTGTGAGAAGAAATATTTAAAATAGACATTTAATATAATAATTATAATTAATTATAATAAATAATTAATATAATAATTAATACATTAAAGCACTTACTTAAGAAAGCATAGACAAAATAAATAAGAAATGGGCCACTGAAGAAAATAAACCTGGATAATGTTTGATTTGGAGAAACAACAACAACAAAAAAATTTAACATCTCATGAATCATTTTCAGAATATACTGCCAAGAGAAGTGAGTAGAAATTAAAGATTTATTAAAACATTTTCAGCATTTGTCCCATGAATGTTTAATTCTTGAACAATCATGTTTATATTCTGACTTTTTGTATTCAAACCTCGTATACCAACTATGTAACTCACACATTTTAATAAATTAAGCACCAAATATGTATCTGTAACCATAACTGCATACATCATATTAAATATATATCTATGTAGTAACCTCATATGAGTCCTTCTTAACTCTCAAGCATTCTTTCATGAAATATCTCTCATCAAGAAAGGTTTGTTTCTGTATCATGCTTTTGATATCAACTGAGTAAAATCCCTGATATAAGAAGGCCCTGAACAATTGAGAAGAGCCTTACTGATAAGAGTTGCCTGACATGCAAAACTCAGAAAAGAATGTACAAAGTAGTTCACTTTTATATGCTATGGTGATTACTTTCCCTTGGTAGAGCTGACAATGTTTATTGGTCTAGCTGCCATTATCATTAGGAACAGACTGAACATATATGATTTGGACTCTGCAATATTCAGCGAGTATAGTAATTCATTTCTTTTCCTGACACGGTGGAAGCTCCGAAGTCCAGGTACCATGGCAAGCAATCTATGATCTTGAATTTAATACAGTACTGGAGCAATTTAGGTAATGTGTTAAGGTCATACAACTGGTGAGACTGCAACTTGACCAAAAATGGAAGCTCATGTGTAGAAAATTAAAAAAATATAGAAAGGATCAGTTTTATAGGCAGAAGCAATGAGAAAAATCAAAGGGGGGGGGCGGGGAGCAGTCTTGGCCTCTAACAATTTTCATAGTTCTTATTCCTGGCTCCTATGGGGCCTTGCTATATTGAACATAAGTGCAATGCCCCTGAATCATTTCCATACTCTCTACTCTCCTCCTTAATTTAATCACCCTGGATGAGTTTCTGAGTTTCCACCAAGAAATATTATTAGAACAAATATCACTGACACTTCTTGCTCTTTCCTGCAAACAAGTAACATTCTCAGTCATTGTGGAAATCGGTGACAGAGGGGGATTTAACAGGACTGACCAGAGGAGGAGCTGCCCTGAAGAAATTGAGGAAGAAGGTATTCTGAAGGTGGGAGGAGACTGCACACTGACCGAGAAAATTAATAAGAAACTCCATATATAGAGACCAAATCAAATGGACAACTGGAAAGGAAAGTGGGACTCCCCATGCTTCTCTGGTGAAGCAGTCATTTTGACAGTGAGGCAAAATGCCTGAGGGACTAGTCAGTCTAGCACTTCAGAAACTAGATTCCTGGAACAGACTTTGCATTCAGTGTCACTGCACCCTTCCACATACACAGCTCCACTTCCAAACACTGGGGAAGGCAGCATTCCTGTGTCCTCTGCTCCAGAATATACTGCTGGACGAACTTACCTGTCAGACTGTCAGCCAATTTGCTGGCATGTCTACACCCAGGCTCCAGCTCTCCTCTACACAGCCCATTGCCCAGAGTACCCACCAAGGCTCAAGCAGGTGCATACAAACCACTGACACCAGCTCTGTGGGTATGCAGGTCAGTCAAATTGTGGGCAACATGTCCAAACAGCCTAGCACAAGCACTGCATGTTCACTGGACTCCTAGGTCACAGGTGCCAGCTGAGTCTGCCATTCCTGCCTTGCCTGCGGCGTACCACCCCGCCACCAGAACATGCTTCCTCTCTGAAGGACACTGATGGTTACCTGCAATCAGACACAAGTAAGACAAGAAGAGAACTGTGCAGTCTCATGGACAATTTGGCATAGTGTTTAAGAAGGAATTGTACTTATTACAAGTGCTCACCAAGGACTGGGGAAACACACCAACACTCTGGGCAGAGAGACAGGAACTCTGTACTCCAGCAGGCAGGCATAGAGCCCCCAAAGAATCTGCAGACTCCTGAAAGCAAAAAGACTCCTGAGTGGTTCCATGCCAATCGCTGCTGTCTCCTGCAGGATACACAGGCACAGTGTGAAAGCAATTGCAGTCCTCTGACAATGCCTGCTGGAAATCCTCAACACTAACCCTTCACTATATCCAAAAGTACGCTTCAGAACATAACCCCATGTCATATCATTTTTTCATCTATCACTATCACTTCTCCCAACCTCCCCCTTTACTTTTTCTTCCTTTTTAGTGATTTAAACTCCTCTTTTAGTCACATCTCAACCTCTTCCCTCCACTTTTCCTATCACATTATAGAACTGTTCATAATAATTGAACATAGTCTACTAAAAATATTGATAATTGATGTAAGTGTAAATGCAAGGTTTGTCTTATATAAATGATTCAAGCTGCTGTTATAAACAGAAGTAATTTTGTAAAACATAAGCACAAATCCAAATCACTTACATTAAATAACTGAAAGGGTAAATACTACTTCTGGGTATATAAACTGAGAACACATCATTAGAAGGCATCACACAAACTACAAGCTCTTCCCATCCTACTAGATTCTGACCCACAATACCAACAAAAATAAAATAAAATGGGAGATGATAAAAAAATAAGTCATATACATACACACAGGACCATGGGAAACAAGGCAGTTGAAGATCCTCAAGGTCTCTCAACTCTCCTAAACCAGATCAAGGTGACATAAAACAACAAACAGAGAGAAAAGCAAGGTAGTAGAACTCTGCAAAATGTTTAAAGAAGAAATTAAGAAATTTGGTGAGTTCAAAGAAGACATGACTCAAAAGTCTATGGGGCTATCACTTACACTGTCCAATGTAAATATGGAAGAAACAAATAAAAATTGAAAAGATGACCAAAATAGTTCAAAACATTAGTGATAAATTCACCAGCAATATAGGACCTGTGAAAATGTATCAAATAAAAATACCAGAAATAAAAAGTTACATAAAATTTATGATTTGCAAAAATGACAAATATGAAGACAGAGGGTTTGAAATTGAGGAAAAATGATAAATTATGACCAAGTACTCAAGACACACACACACACACACACACACACACACACATACACACACACACACAAAGGAATCATCTACCAGGTACTAGGAGACACTAAGAAGACCAATCCAAGACTAACTGGAGTTAAAGAAAAGTTAGATGGTAACACAGATGGAATTATTAATTGGTTTACAGAAATTGTAGTAGAAAATTTCCCAGGTATGAGAAAATATTCAACATATAATTAAGTGAAGCTTCCAGAACACAAAATTACAATAATGAAAGAAGCTTACTAAGATATATCATTATTAAATTACCAGATATCTAACAAAAAATCAAAATTTAAAAAGCAGTCAGAGAGGAACAAAAAAGTCACATATAATGTTAAACTCATTAGAATTAAAGCAGACTTCTCATCACAAATCTTAAAGCCAGAAGATCTTGCAGTGAAGTGGTTGAAGCCCTAATATACAAAATATTTTTACTATCCTAAACAGAAACAATGAAACCAATAAAGCCAAAAACATAGATGGAATGAAAAGCACTTAGTAAAATCAATGGATAAGCAACAACAATAAAAATGAGAAAAGAGAAATGAGAACAAAGGATTCACGAACAAGGAAAGAGTGCAATGATACTAATTAACAACTCTCAATAATATCTTGCAGTGTTGATGACCTCCAATTACTGGAATGGTAAAAGAACAGAATCCAACAGTCTGTTGCATTCAAGAAACTCATCTAATCCAAAAAATATATTTATACAGTGAAATTCAAAGAATGGAAAATAATAGTTCATGTGCCAGGACCTTAAAAGCAGGGTAGGAATTTAAATCTCAGATACTACAAACTTCAATCTAAAATTCATTACTTCACTACATACTAGATCAGGGACTAATCCAATAAGAAAAGATAATGCATATGAACATGTGTTGGGAGCCGCCGACACCGGTCGCCTTACTTGGCGGACGTAGGGCCTGTGGGTGGGAGCGGAGCCTGAGCTAGATTGCCCCTCCCATCGAGTGAGTCAAGTTGGCGCCTGCTTCCTGCCCCCTGATTGTGCTGGCGACTTAAACAACCCGCTCTGTAAGATAGTCTGCCTAGCAACAGCTGATGTTAGCCAGTCAGCCCGCATCGCGCGCTTTGAACTGATTGGCTACTGTTGCCCTATAAAAGTGAATGCCTTTCCCGCCACGAGAGGAAGCACAAAGAGGGATAGAGAAAGTCCACCGGCGAGAAAGGGCTGGTGGCAGAGAGGAGGCCTCGTGGGGCCCACGTGGAGACAAATAAAGGCAAGGTTGCACACTATCAGAATCTGTCGCGTGTTCTTCCTGCAGGCCGGGAGCGACATCGACATTTGGTGGCCTCGCGGGGCCCACGCGGAGATAAATAAAGGCAAGATTGCACACCGCCAGACTTTGTCGTGTGTCTTTCCTGCCGGCCGGGAGCGACCCCGACATTTGGTGACCCGCACGGGGACTGATCAACCCCGAGACACAGCGGTGGTGTGCAACGCTCCAGCGTGGTGCTGCCGGACAGGTGAGTTGGGGATAAGCCTGGGCTCTGGGTGGCGCGCACCTACAGGGCTTTTAGACTCACCTCAGGCTCACGCGTAGGTGACGGGTTCTTTAAGTCACACGCGGTGAGTAACAGCCCTTAGAGGTTGAGGATGGGTAATTTACCGAGTGCGGAGGCGCGGCCCTTGGTAAAGGCCCTTAGGAAGCTTTTAAAAGCTAGAGACCTCAGGGTAGGTCAAAAAACACTGGAACTATTCATAACAGAGGTAGATAGGGTGGCTCCCTGGTTTTTACCCACGGGGCATTTAAACCTGCCGTCATGGGAGAAGTTAGGCGGGGACCTCGCCTCGGCGGAATTGGGAGGGGATATTTCGCCGGCTATTCGCCCCCTGTGGGAAATGATACATGCGTGCCTTGACTCCTATGCCGAGTTGCGCCGCGAATTGTGTGCGTGCGCCGCTCGAAAAAAGCAGAGAGAGGAAAAAGGGCCCCCGAGAGCCCTCTGGCGGGGAGGAGATAGAGAGCCTTCCGCTCCGCCCTGGAACTCTTCTCCAGAAGCGGCTCCCCGCCGAGAGGCAGCTACAGGGAACCCTCCCTTCTCTCAGCCGGCACAGGAAGTGACCCCCCGTTCCACTCTGTCGCGACCGCCGTCCTATGACGTTGCGCCGCGGGGCGGACGGTATTTTCATGGGCAGCTACTCTGCCGAGCAGGCTGAGAAAAACGCCGGTTGAGGAAACGGGGGCTGGGGATTTAGCTCAGCGGCATAAGCGCCTG